CGATCCTGGAGAAACACTCGGCGAATCTTTCGACGGGCAGCCCCCGCTCGACATCCCCTGGGGGCCCCCCTGGAAAAGGGGCGAGCTCGAAGGGGGCTTCGGGGCCCCAGGGTCACGCGGCCGCTCTCTGCGAACCTCCCCCCAGGAGGCAGCTGGGCGATCGCGCGCCTGCTTCGGGCCGGGGATCTCGGCGCCCGCGGGGCCCGCGAGGCCAGCGACGGGGGGCCCCGCTGCGCCCCGGGGGGTGCCCGCTGTGCTGCTTAGATCCGGGTCTTGATATCTGGTGGCCGCCCCGAAAAGTAGAAAAGCGCGAAAAGCGCGAAAAGTAGAAAAGCGCGAAGAGCGCGAAAAGTGCGAAAAGTAAAAAAATGCGAAAAGTGCAAAAAGTGCGAAAACTGCGAAAAGCGCAAAAGTGCGAAAAGTGCGAAAAGTTGCGCGAAACACTTGAAACGCACTTGAAAAGTTGAAAAGCGCGAAAAGCGCGAAAAGCGAGAGAAGAGCGAAAATGAATACAGCGATGCGCACAAGAGGCCGAAGAGCGCGAAGTGTTCGAATGGCGCGCGGAAAGTGCAATAAAAAACACGAAACGCGCAACAAACGCGAAAAGAGTAGACAACAAGGCGCCGTCGGTGGAGAAAAGCGAGAACAGCGAAACGAATGTGAAACTACGAGGACACAGTAGCACGACAAATCGGAAGACCGAGACGCGGAAGCCTACGGAACGCTGAGAAGCCAATTCCTTGCGAGAAATTCAGCTCTGAGAAACTTGGCAGACAATCCTGCTAACATTGCAAAACCAATGGAATCCGGAGAGAAGAAAGCGAGGATATACATTTCACGGAATACCCCGTTATCCTTCCTCCTCTTCTGTTTTTCCTGACATGGGAGCCGCAACGCGCGGAAACGAGTAGGAGAAACACGAACAGCGGAAAACATGTAAAACACACGCGAGCGCGAGAAACGCGAACCACAGAATACCGAGAACACGGGACGCGCGCAACAGCCGGGCGAAAAACATGAAGACCAGAAGCGCATCCAAAGCGGAAGTATATCCCACCAGCCCTTTAGAGCGCAGGTGGTCTAGGGCGTTTCCTTTTCCAACCTCCTTCCCCCCCCTGCTCGAGAGGTTTTACCCCCCCCCCCCCCCCCTCCGTGGGTCTGGGCGGGCTCCCGCGCGAGATGCCAGGGCGTTCTTTTTGGCCCAAGATAGCTCCAAGAGGGTCTCGGAAAGGCCAAGATGGCCTCCAAGATGGCTCAATGTACCTCAAGATGGCCCAAGATAGTTTCCGACATGCCTCCAAGAGGCTCCAAAACGGCCCCAAGACGGTTCCGAGTGCCCTCCGAGCCCTCCGAGGATCCCCCCAAGAGGCCCAAACCTGTCTAAAACCAACAGAAAACATATGTGTGTTGCCTTCTCGCCTTTTCGCTTGCGATGGGCTCTTGAGGCCTCAAGTTGGCCGCGAGAGAGGCCCAAGACTGCTCCAAGAGCGCTCAGGAGCATTCCTGGCGAACCGCCACCCTGGCCGATGGGCGAAGCATTCTGGCCGGGGGAGGGCCCAGCGCGGCGCCCCGCCCTCGTGATCGCATGCCCTAGCCGTCATAGCCTAGGCGGCTGCGGACGCGGTGAAGCATACGGCGCGGGCGAGGGCAAGCAAAAACGCCAACGGTGGCAAGCAGAGGGATCAGTGAAATAATGATCGCTGAGAAACGGCGCGCATATGCATGTAAAAGGGTGGGGCAAGATGGGGCGGGGGAGATTAGAGCAGAGCGGCGAGGAATGAGGCACGGAGTGCACAGGGGCGAGCGTGGATGAGCGGGGAGGACAGGGGAGAGAAGTGGAGTCGAGCGGACGGGGCGAGGAGGAGCGCGAGAGCGGCCAAGGAACGGGGGGTAATGGAATTGACCGGGATGGGAATGATCGGGAAGGAGTTGGGAGGAACGCGGGGGGCGGCAAAATGGGAGGAGCGCGAAGGAGCGACGAGAAGTACAATGGAGCGGAATGATGCGAACGAAAGGGAACGAGTGGGGAGGAGTTGAAAGGAGCGGGGGGAGATGGAAAGGAACGTGAAATAGTGGGGCGGAGCGGATTGAAGTTGGGAGCACGGAGACGAAAGGAGAGGAGCGGGGAGGAGTGGGCAACAGTGGGGAGGAGCGCGGACGGGAGAAGGGGATTGGAATAGAATGGGGAGGCGCGGGAGGAGTGCGGAGGTTTGCGGGGGCATGCGGCGAATGGGGATACGAGCAAAGTGGAAGGAAGCGGGAAAGGGTAGAGAGGAGAGGAGGGGGAGAAACGAGGGGGAGCGGGGAGGCGGCAGGAAGGAGCTGATAGGGGGACTGGGGGAGAAAATGGAGCACGCAGCCGATGCCAAGAGACACCCGAAACGAAGTACGCTTCATAACGCGCGCTGCCTGCCGCGTCGCATGCGGGGCGGATGCTTTCCAGCAGCTGCGTCTAATCGAAAGATTTCGGGGGCGCCCAAATCATCCCGAACTCTCGCCGGAGGCCCGAGTTACGCACGGCCCGAAAACCACTGGGAAGATCGAGGTTCGAGGATCGAGGATCGAGGTTGTTGAACGCGCTCGGCAACTATTGCGAAAAACTTAAAAAACAAAAACAAAGAACACAACCGTGCTCCGTGCGAGGAAAAGCGGAACGCAGGAAAAACGCAAGTGGAACACGGCCACGCCTCATCATCCTGCCCCTCCTGCCGCTCTCTAGTGTTTCTTTTAGAATATGTTGAACCATTCGCGCGTTTCGAACTGGTCCTCCTTCTCGCGCTGCGCACAGAGGTTTCGGGGGCGCCCAATATCATCCCAAACTTCCGCTGGAGGCCCGAGTTACGCACGGTCCGAAAACCACTTGGAAGATCGAGGTTCGAGGATCGATGATCGAGGTTTTCGAACGCGCTCGGCAACTATTGCGAAAAAACTTAGAAAAAGCAGAGGCAAGAAAAACAAGCGTGCTCCACACGAGGACAAGCAAAACGCAAGAACAGCACATGTGGAACACGGCCACGCCTCATCTTCCTGCCCCTCCTGCCGCTCCTTTGTTTTTCTTTTAGAATATGTTGAACCATTCGCGCGATTCGAACTTGTCCTGCTTCTCGCGCTGCGCGCTGTTAAAAATGCGGTTCCTTCCCAAAGCGTTTCTCATTCCACGTTCGCTCTTATCGCGCAAGTCCCGCTTTGCTGCCTTTCGATATTATCGCAAGTTTCAAACGCAGGTTCCCCGCTTTATCAGGGTTCGGCTTCCTTGTTGTTCGCACCTATTAGCGCTTCTCAACTTGTTGCACTGTGTTGCTCCGTGCTTCTCGCACCTTTCGTCCTTCTCACACTTGTTCGTACATGTTCGCACTTGTCTGCTGCTACTTTTCGCGCTTTTCTACTGTTCGCACGTTCGCACTTATCGCGCTTTTCTACTTTTCGCACTTTTCTACTTTTCGCGCTTTTCGAACTTTTTGCACTTTTCGCGCTTTCCTACTTTTCTACTTTTCGCACGTTTCGCACTTTTCGCACTTTTCGCGCTGTTCTACTTTTCTACTTTTCTCACTCTTCACACTTTTCGACACTTTTCGCACTTTTCTACTTTTCGCACTTTTCGCGTCCGCCACCGGATGTTTGAGACGCTTAGATAGCCGGCTTATCCCGAGTCGAGCAGCAGTCCTGCAGCCGAGGATGCGCGGCCGCCTCGCGAGGAGGGGGCGTGTCCGGATCGGAATCGGCTTCGCGAAGACTTGCCGCGAGCTGTTTCGTCTGGAACCTTAGTGACAAAATGGCATCCAGGGCGGTCGGCCCAGGACATGAGGCGAGACTGCCCGCTGCAGATGCGCCCCGAGCAGGGGTGGCTCGCGAGGCCCGCCGAACCCGCGCATAGTCTGCTCAGCGTCATGTTCGGCCCGCTTCTCCTCTAGACGCCACAGGGCAAGCCTTGCCGCGGACCTCGAGGTGCTCGCCGGGGACTTCGGGAAGGTCGATGGCTGCGAAGACCTCCGCATGAGCCTCTGGCTAAAGAAGGCGGCGACTGACCCAGCTGGGAAGCCGGGGCGAAGACGGCCGCGCAGTCGGCGCAGAACTCGCGCAAAACAGGAACGTGGTCCGATGGGCCCGAGAGATCGACGGCAACGCCCAAGACGAGACTGCCGGGGTCAAGGCCCACTTGCCCTCGGAGAACATATTGATCAGGGCCCGACCCGGACGGGCCACGGACGCGAGGCGGTTGTCCTGAACCACCCGACGGGCGCGGAGATCCTGGGAGATCCCCCGCCCGCGCGGCGGGCGAGCGCGGCGCGCAGACTGCCCTCCCCGAAAGATGCCGTCTGCCCCGCGCCCCCCCCCCCCCCCCCCCCCGACTGCGCAGCCATTGCTGAAGTCGCCCCCAACGAAAAGGCAGGCCCCCGTCGGCGGCAGGAACTGGAATTAATCGGGGACCCCGCCGCGAAAGAAAGCACGCCGTTGGTTGGCGGTGCTATCCGGGTCGCCGCGGAGGTCGGCAGCCCCGATGCACCCCGAGGGCGCCGACGTTGACGGCGGGTGCGCGCGACCGGCGGCAACGACGTGATGAAGAACATGCGGGAACGGTTTTGTCGGGACAGGGCTGGCGAGGGCGAGCCCCCCCCCTTCGCCCCGCCCTCGAGCCAGGCCCCAGAGCCCACGAGCCCACTCCCCCAAGACACATGAAAGTCTAAATCGAACTCGGGACCACGGGGTTTCTGCATGAGAAGAATGCGATCCTACGGGGCCCAACGCTTCACATCGAAGAAGGACTCGCCCTTTCAAGCGGCGACAGAGAAATGATTTTGCATAGCGAAGGGCCGAGCGCAGCCGCCCGCGCCGCCGCCCGCCTGCCCCGGGCTGTCAGAGGAAGTGGCAGCGGACGAGGCCCCCGAAGACGACTTCGAAGTAGAAGAAGACGACGCAGAATAGGCGCCCGACGAGCCTGTGGCGGAAGCCGCCGACGAATCATCAATTGGAAATGGCATGGCCCAAGGGGAAGCGTCAGCCTTCGCGCGGTCGAAGCCATGGCGGCCCAGTATGTCACTGTCCATGTTTAGGCGCTCCTCGTCGCCGAAGCTATCTACCTGGGTCACGAGCACCTCCGCATGTTCATCCAAGGATAGGAGGAGCAAGCCCTCGGGGCCCGCCGAACATGCCGTGAACTTCGAGCCCATGGTGCCAGCAGACTTCGTGCGAGAGCAGACCAACTGCCAGAGGCACCCGAGTATAATCTGCTCGGTAAGGCCCTCGGTGGCGGCGCACATCTTGGCGCGCAGCGGGGCGATGGTCTTCGTGCGCGGGCCGATCCGCGAGATCCCGCACTGTTTTAAAAAGGTCCAGCGCTCTGCGGGCCTGCTCGTCGGAATCGACATGCACCACGTGGGCCCAGTAAAGCTTCGTGGCGAGGGCCGTGGCCTTCGCCGAGAGATGATGATGTAGCGCAGCGGGGAGGGCCTCCCCACGAGAGGCGAATGACTTGGCCGACGGCTGCCAATGGAAACCGCCGACACACAACATGGACTTGTCCGACTCCTGCTCAACCGGGGTAGCAGCACCTCGCGAGTGGGAAAAACTCAACGACGCTGTAAAACAAGGTCGGAGGAGCCGGGGGCCTTTGGAGCGAGGTGACCTGTTTCGCCAGCTGGTGGACCTGCTCATCCAGCTTCTGGTAACCCACGGAACCCACACCGACGACGCAGGGGTCAATCTGCGCCGGCAGCTGCTCGAGAAGTTCGGCGTTAGTGGCGACGCGGCCGTCCAACGCAGCGAGCATTACGCCCCATTGCGTCCCCGGGCGCGCTCACGCGGGTGTCGATGTCACCCGGCCTCGCGATAAGGAGGACGGCCTGGACGTCTGTCTTCTGAAACGAATGCACTGAAGTCTTCGTGGCCATGTGCGCGCTGATGTCCGTGAGCATGGCGAAGAAGAGATGTGCCATCGGCGAGAGCTGCACAGTGCAAGCGGGCGGAACGTGACCCTGTCGATAGCCGAGAATGGCCTGCGCCTCCATCTTGCCATCTGTGTCGACCGCGCCGCCGTCGTTGTTCACCAAGTCGATGACCTCCTACATGGGGGCACCAAAGACGCTAGTAACAAAATCGTTGTCAAAGCCGGCGGGCGAAACGCCAGGCTCCTCGAGACTCATGGGGAGGCCCATGCACATGCCGGCGGCTGCCTCGATCGCGTCGTCGCACTGCGAATCTGCGACCTCAGGCGCAGGCACAAGCGGCGTAGCCGCACAGGAAACCGAACACAACGAGTCGCGCCAATGCAGCGGGTCGATATTGCTTGGCCGGTGCGACGTGCCGTTCGCGAAATTGTTGGTGGCTTGCGCCTTCACACTCGAGGAAGCAGCAGGCGCCATGTCGGGTGCAATTGAATCACCATTAGTGACGCGCGGAAAAGGTCAGTACCAGTGCGCCCCCCCCAAGAGCTCACATCATCGTAGGTCAGCAAAGCGCCTGCGTCGCGAGCCGCGCTTGGTGGCCATTGAAATCGGCCACTCAACCACATCAAGGACAATTGTTTATTTGAGCCAAAATGGCCACGGAAGGTGGAGGTGGAGGAAAAAGAGGAGGAATACAACGAGAAAGAGGAGGAGGAGGATGGGAAGAGAGGAGAGGGGAGGAAAAGAGAGGAGAGGAGATGAGGGGACGCGGGGACTGTCTCATCTAGCCGAACACCCAACACAACAGGATGGTCGAAATAAAACTGCACTGATGTTGGAAGTAACGCTGTTTTAACACACGCAATGTGTTCGGAGATGAGGAAATCACGTTTCCCAAATCCACCAATCACACAAAAGACTCCGCGAATGCCAGAATCACAAAAAGTAGTTCCAAGCGGGAATCGCGAAATGTAGTTCCAGAGTTTTCGGAGTCGCGTGTGTGGCGATCGCACTTTTTGGCATGTGTTCTTTAGGTGTGCGCTGGTGCACGCTTGGCCCAGTCGCTTGGGAAAGTAAGCCAAATCAAGAATTCGGGCCATCGCACGCACAGGAATTCATGATGCCTCGTACTTGCGGCCATCGTGGGTTGCACCGCCATTCTCAACAGTGGCACTGCACCCCTTTGCACCACACCACTTTTTGGACCTCTGCAGTCGATCGCGCTGAACCATGCTGCGCCTACACCAAAGTCGACGAAGGGACCGGCCAAGGTGTCGTGGAAGAACCTGCGCCCGCGCCTCCGGCACGCTGAGGCAGCTTAGAACGGTCGTCTGTTCTGGAAGAGTTCCTTCTCTTCTCGAACTGTTGGGTGGTCCGTCTGTTTGCTCGGTTGTCTGGCGTTGACTGTCTATCAGTTTTTTGCCAGGTTGTCTGTCGTAACCCCTTCTCCCAATGGCGATCGAGGGCGCTCAGAGATTTCCTAGGCTGGGGAACTAGTCGGCGGGGACAATGTTCCCAGTCCCAGATCGCCACGAACTTACACTCGTGGTCGACCATGTCGTAATCGCTCATGGTTCCCAACCGTCCTGTGGTGTTGGGTCCTCGTTTTGACGAGACGGTCCCCGCGTCCCTCCTCCTCCTCCTCCTCCTCCTTCTCCTCTCCTCCTCCTCCCCTTCCCCCCCCTCCTCCCTCCCTGCGTTTCACCCACCCACTACAGCGCTTCGTGGCCCCAAAAGGGGCTCCACCGAAGGTCCCTGTGGCACCGCCCGCATGCGTCAGTCACCAACCAGCGCAGCGCTTCGTGGCCTTATATGGGGGCTCCACCGAAGGCCCCACTGGCACCGCCCGCATGCGTCAGCCACCACCCAGCACAGCGTTTCGTGTCCCCGTAGGGAGCCCCGCAAAAAGGCCCAAGTGGCACCGCCCGCATGCGTCAGCCACCACCCAGTGCAGCGTTTCGTGGCCGCACAACGGGGCTCCACCGAAGGCCCCAGTGGCACCGCCCGCGTGCGTCAGCCACCACCCAGCACAGCGCTTCGTGGTTCCACAGGGGGCTCCACCGAAGGCCCCAGTGGCACCGCCCGCATGCGACCACCACCCAATACAGCGCGTCGTGGGCCCATACGGAGCTCCACCGACGGCCCCACTGGCACCGCCCGCGTGCGTCAGCCACCACCCAATACAGCGCTTCGTGGCCCCATTGGGGGTTCCACCGAAGGTCCCAGTGGCACGGCCCGCATGCGTCAGCCACCACCCGGCACAACGTTTCGTGGCCCCGTAGGGAGCTCCACCAAAGGCTCCACTGGCACCGCCCGCGTGCGTCAGCCACCTCGCAATAAGAGGTTTCGTGGCCCCGTATGGAGCTCCACCGAAGGTCACCGTGGGACCGCCCGTTACAGCGGGACCGCCCGCATGCGTCAGCCACCACCCAGTACAGCGCTTCGGGTCCCCACAGGGAGCTTTACCTAAAGTCTCCGTGGCGGAACTCGCACGGCGGCCCAGCGGCGGAGTTCGCATGGCGGCGGCTGTCGATGTTCGCCGGTTTTTCGTCGTATTCGACGTGTTGAAGCCGCTTTCGGGCCGCGCATCCCGGGCGGGAGCCAGCCAGCTCGCTCTCCCTGCCCCGCGCAACGGACGACCCGCGCGCGTCGCCGGGACCCCTTCGGGGCGACCAGCGCGCGTCGCGGGAACTCCGTGCGGCGCCGCGCCCGCAGCCTTTTGACGCGGGCGCGCACGGGCAAAGAGGGAGAAGAAGAACGGGAAGAACGCGGGCGCGATCCTCGAGAGAGGCGTGCCGACATGGGCGTCGACATTTATGCACGTACACTCACGCGCGCGCAGACTCATCCACAATCATACTCACTTGGCTTCAGTCTCTCGCACACAGACCTATCGTATTCGCTCGCGTCACAAGGTTCGTGGCCCCATAGGGAGCGCGGGCGAAGATGATATTCATAATTGCGGTACTCACAACTGCATATGGTTGGGTCTTTCGCCAGGCTAATTTTCTAATGGCGGCCCCGCCTCTCGACGCACGTGAAAATCGATGCCCCTGCCGGTGTGTTCTCCAACGGCCTCGGCGGATTCCAGACGGCTCCAAGACAGCCAAGAATCGCCTCAAGATGGCCGATAAACAATCCAAGTCAGTAGAATGACTGCTCAACGAGCTCCCACAGGTTTCAAGAGGCCCCAGCGAACCTTCAAAGGACGCCCGAAGAGGCCGCCAGTGAGGCCCAAATACATGGAGAAACATCCAGAATAATAGGTGTTGCTTCCCATGCTTTTCGGCTTGATATCGCGTCCGAAAGCTGCAGGGAGCCTCAAGAAGCTCCCAACGCGACAGCAAGGAAGCCTCATTAACCGCCCTGACGTCCCAGAGATGGCTGAACTGAGCATTTCAAGGGCAGCTAGCTTTGTGGAACCATCACGCCCATCGCGGCCCAAAGATCCCCGACGGGACCTTCTGGGGCCCCAGCAAGCCGTCGGGAGGCCCCCAAGAGGGGCCGCAAGAAGCCACAAAGGCGCCCGCCAGAAGTTCAAAAGGTGAAGGAAAGGGGGGGTATGTGACACTGCGGACAAGGACGAGCTGCTCAACATTCGCGCCAATCCAACCACGGTGCTAAACTAAAGGGGTTATTCAACTCACCCTCCTTCCTGCTGCTGCGCTGCGCTTGCCCGGTGACGGGGTTTGCCGCAGGCAGCTGGATCAGTAATGGCATCGTATATTAAACTCGCAGCGCAAAAGCGGCCAAGCCCCCCGTTCGGGGCGGGCATGATTGGACCCCATCCACCTTCCATCTGGCCGAAGGCCCCCCTATTACGCCTCCCGTCACAGTCCTCCTTGTCTCCTACCCCTCCCTTCTCTGCTCGCCTTCCCCAGCAACTCATCCGTCCCCATCCCCCTTGTCCTTTTCCCTCGCAAGCCTTTACATACCTTCACCTCTTCCTCCTCCTTCTCCCCCTGCCCGCAGAAACCCAGAGAACACCTTCCAAAACCGCGCATGTCCCCGCAAAGATCCCTAAGACACCACTGGAGGCGCCTCGACGGAAGGACGTAAGGAAGAGCCCCCTGTACAGCCATCGTGCTACCAAAACGAACGCTTAACAAGGAACGAAGGGACGTTTCTGGCCACGGCGAGCCTCGGCTACGAATAGGCCTTCCGACCACGTCATAGGGAACGGCCCGAACACCAGAGCCTTCCACGAGCCCCAAATCCAAGAGGGAGTTCGTAATCAATGGCCCGAGGCAAGTGCGTAGAATACGGTGGGGGGGAGTAGCGAAAGTGCTGAAAAAAAGAGGGCCATGACATCTGGAGAGATGCCATAGACCTGCCCACAGACCCCACCTCCCCTCAGCATCCCCACCCTCTTAGCTGGCCTGGCAAACTCAGCGTGTTGACTGATACAGCCATCGGCCTGACCTAAGGAACGAGAAATAAGGAACGAAGCCCCTTTGTTTTCCAAGGAGCAATGCATAAGGAAAGATAGATAATGAAAAACGCATACGGAATGATGGATAACGCAAGCAAGCCTAGGGAACGACCGAGCCCCTTTTGAAAAGCAAGTGTTCCTTACTCAAGCCGCTCAATGTATGCAGGAGGAGGGGGATGAGGAGGAGGAGGAGGAGGAGGAGGAGGAGGAGGAGGAGCATGGTCCTGGGGCCCAAGAGGCGGTCCCCGGAGCCAGAAGAAGGCAAAACACAGTCCCAGACCCAGAGCGTCAAATCCCCCGACCCCTTGTGGGTCCTCAGGCGTGTGAGATTGTTCCCCCCCCATACTCCTCCCCCCGGGGACCCCAAACCTCGAATTTGAACCCCAGCCCCCCGGCCCTGGAAGCAGTGACAATGCGCGCCCAGGGGGGGAGAGGGCTCCAAGATGGGCTCAGAGGGCAACAAGAATCCCCCGAGACGGTCCATGAGGGCCACGAATCGCCAGAATACCGCCCCATGACGCCGACGATGGCCTCCAGACGGCCTCCGCATTCCCTACGACACATCAAGAGGCTCCGAAGATGCGCCCCAAGAGGGCCACCAGGCGCAAAAATGGTCCCATTCCCTTCGTAATGCGCTATCTTAAAGAAACTCGCCTTGTCGGCTTTCCAACGCTCTAAGATGGCCCAAGAAGCCCCCAAGACCACCCCAAGAGGCCTCCAAGAGGGCCCCAAGACGGCCCGAGAG